AAATAATTAAACATTCACATTATTACTTTCCTGAAGATATAATTATATGAAAAATACTTTTTTATATGAATGTTGAATTTCCGTAACAAAATATTTTTAAGTCCAACACTTCTCAATTTTAGAGGCTATTTTAAATTATTAATTTAAAATGATCGATATGTTATTATTATTATTATTTATATCAATAATTTGTTTAAAAATTTTGTTTGTGATTAAAATTCATTATTTACTGAAATTGTTTATAGTTTTATATTTTCATACCTAATAAGAATTAAAACATTTATTTGGCTCTTATCTATCTATCTATCTGTAATATATTTATTTATAATTTATACTATATATAAATGCGGAAATAGGAAAATAATAAAATTACCTATAATAATCTTAATAAAAGTTTAGAAATCCTAAAATATCCTTAGTCATTCGATAATTGATAATAGTTTGATTTTATTAAATAATTTGATTTTTTAATAATCGATGATAAATTGGAGTTTTTATAATATTTTTTATTAATTGATTAAAAAAAGTATATTATTATATTATTTTAATACATTATTCTAATTAATTTCAATCATTGATTATTTACATTTCAAAAAATAGATTATTATTTTAATTTTAAAATAAACTTCAAAATGCAAAAACAGTATATATAAAAACATCTATTCAGATATTGTTTCACACGTTATAAATATATCACTTTTAAGATTTTGAATTTTTTTATTTATATTTATTTATCTTACATCTAAGTTTTTCAAATTTTGTATTTATAAAGGCAACACTTTAATCTATAATATATAAATATGGGAATCGGAGGATAAGCAGATTTTCGATAGCCGATTGATGAAATTTAGAATATGCAACAATAACTTTAGTGCCCTTGATAAAATTAAGAATATGTGACAATAACTTTAGTCATAACCAATTAGAAAATTACATTTTATTAGTTGATTAGATATATTTATAATAATTATTTTTAAATAGATACATATGCATAATTAAGCATTTCAAAATTTTATTTTTATCTTTTTAAATTTATTCTTAATAAATATATATGATAGGAGACATTTGAAAATTTTTATATTAAATTTATTCTTAATAAATATATATGATAGGAGACATTTGAAAATTTTTATATTTTATTTTTTAAAATTTGATTCTATTTTAATTATGATTTAAAATATTTTATTTTGAAGAGAAATAAAAAGAAAAAAATATTTTTTTATTAATATTCTTTTTTTTATATATTTGTATGATTTCATTTGACATATTTTTTAAAAAATAAAATTTAAAATAGAATACAAATGGTATTTTATTTAGGAGAGATAAAAAAAAGAAACAATTATATTATTTTATTGATATTTTTTCTTTATATTTTGATTGGATATGTTTTTTTTTAAAAAAAAAAATTCAAATAGAATACAGATAATTAAACATTTCAAAAATTTTAAATTTTTTACTTTTCAAAATTTATTTTAAATAAAATGAATATATGTGTGTGGGGAGTTAGCGAATACTATTTTAATTTTAAAAATATACAATATTTTATTGACATATTTATATATTTACTAGTATTTTTATGATGTGCATTGCATGTTGATTACACTCGTACTTGTTTAATTTTTTATGTTATTGGTCACTTTTACTTGTTATTTATATTTATTTTTAGTTTTTAATATTAAATATTGATTGTAATTTTTTGCTTATATTATTTAGATTTTATAATATTAAAGGATAACGAGTATTAACATAACGTAATAAAAGTACTAGATTGTATTATACAATACTTCACGTCAATTTATATTCGTATTTAATTTTAAATTCATTACATTTCAAATATCACCTAATAAATACATTTCAATAGATGTATAAAATAACAATAAAATATATATATAATATATATTATATATATATATATATATATAATATTATATATATTTAAAATTAAAATTTTCAATTGTTTGTCATCCCACACACAATGTTAATTTTATTTGAAAATAAATTTTAAAGAATAAAAATTTAAAATTTTGAAAGGTTTCATGTATATCCAATTTAATATTTACCGGATTAGAAAACGGATAAATCAGTGACCTATTTCCTTGTTAATATATTTGCCATATTAGATAGGTCACATATATATAAATCACTTTTACTTATTAGTAATTAGTTGCCAGATATATTTTTGATCCAAAAGAAAATAACTAAATCTCACATAGTAGCTGCAAAATGCTCCTATTAGAATTAAATTCCCTGAAGGACAAACTGTCTATACTAATGAGTCTAACGTGCGCCTAAAGCGTGGTAAGCCAATCAGTTCTAAAGACAAAAATCTTAGAAATAGAAAAAGAGCAAATCTTTGAAATTTGATTAGCCAAAATAGAACGACACATTTGCATTTAATTTACTTGAAAAGTAAACTTTGAAATTTTAATATGGACATCAAGAGATGCCAAGCCAGTAGAATAAAAATATGTATTTGTATGAAATTGAAATGGGATCATGCGATATAAAGCAAACCTGTTGCACAAGTTTTTCACAAAGCACTAGCATTGATTATGAGGATAAATACCCTTATATGGTGGATTCAATTATAATTTGATATTTGATTAGTCTAGCAATTTATGAAAATTCAAAACGCGTCTAATGAGTTAATGGCTATCTATTTATACGCCAACTTGATGTAGATATTTACATGAAAATCCCTGAAGGATTCTAGTTGCTTGAAGCATAAAGTTAAATTCTCAAGAAATTTATTCAACTAATATTATAGAGTTCTATATGGATTAGTAGATAATAATATCCATGAAATATTGAAAAGATGCTTAAAGCAAGCAAATCAAGACCTTGAGAAACAATTCAAGATTTCTATATGGAATAAAGAAATCTCAATACATACATTATAATCGTCTTAATGATATTTATGGCTGAGAAAATATTATATTATTTTATAGAAAATATCTATATTAATTTTATGCATTATATTGTATTTATAATATTTCTATTGAGAGTCACATACTTTCATACTTTTAATATTTGCTAATATTGCTATCATTTAGTAAGGTGTTCTTGATTAGTTAAATATCTGTGTGAAGGGATATTTTTAATAATATGTTATATGTTCATGCAATTTTTATGAAAATCTTGAATAATGAATTTGTCATTATTTGAAGTCATAAATTATTGAACTCTTGAAGGAGCTTCCAAAGATTATAAATTTCTTAAAGCAAGAGTTTGAGATGAAAGACATTGAAATATAAAGTTTTATTTCGACCTGAAGATTGAGCAATTCATAAATGAAATTTTGTTTATGAATCAACATATATGGCTAAGTTATTAAAATGATGTTATGTGGATGCTAATGACTATGAGGTCACTTGATAAGAAAATTACTATTTTTCAACTTTGAGAAAATTATAAAGAACTTATTAGTCCTGAAGTACCATATCTTAGTGTAATAAAGACGCTAATGTATCTTGCTAAGTGTAATAAAGACGCTAATGTATCTTGCTAATTATATGAGTAGATATAAGTATTTTTATAAATTTTATTTGCAAGATATAGTTCTTCTTGAATATGAAGAAATTGAATAAAGTTAAAAATGTATTTTGATATCTCCATGGCATGATATATATGAATTATATTATAACTAACATGAGGGAGAGTAATTACGCACTGTACTCTTTTTCCCTTTGGTAAATGTTTTTAATGAGGAAATATTTCAACGTGTATTCAAGAAACGAATAACGTACTCTTTTTCCATCACTAAGATTTTTTTTCCCGCATGATTTGTTCTTAGCAAGGTTTTAACGAGATATATTCTTTAAAGATTAAGCATCCAAGGGGGACTATTATAAATAAGTGAATGTCTTATATGAGCTAGAAATCTATATTTTTAATTATTGCAAACTCTATCTTCCTGATTTGTGTAGGACTTTATTAGGGTACCACTTATACAACGATATATATGTGGCTTCCATCAATAGTAAACATACTTCCGTTTTCTCCCATATTTTTCTCTCTATTCCTTCTCTTTCTTCTCTCTAGTTTTTCTATTATTTTATAACAATGATTGAATTATTTGTTCTAATAAATTTTATTTTTTTATTGATCTTTAAAAGTATCAATTATTATAATTTATGTTTATAATTTCTTTTATTCGATTAGGTTTTCTACTTTTATAAAATATTATACATAAAAGAATAAATTATGAATATATCTATCGGTACACGTGCAAAGCACGTTCATAAACACTAGTATGTATGAAAGTATATATGGAGGAACATTGTCTTTTTAAAATACTCTTGCTAAGTTTATGGATTAACAAAAATATCTTGAAAGATTTTAATTCTATTAGTTGAAAAAAATAAAGGTAATTTATTTTTGATCGGTTATTAGTTTTTCTCTTTAAATATAAATTCTTTAGTTAGTATATTTTTAAATATAAAACTTTAAATGCAATTATATTATTTGCAAAATGTGACTGAAGTTAGTTTTTTAATTAAATAAGACATCATTTTTATTTATAATTTATTTTTTAATATGATAAGAATATAAATAATTATATCCAGGAGACCAAGTGTTTCCACAAATACTATTTACAATTGCATTGATCATATTAATTTATTACAAAACTTTCTTATTACGTATGATTAGTATAAATAAATAAATAAATAATATTTATTCACAATAAATGTTTCTATTAAGAATAAATTGATATATATTTATTTACAATAAATTCTATCAAGGATAAGTTAATATCTATCAAGGATAAGTTAATAATATATTATTTTATATACTATAAATTACATCTTCAATAATCTTGCTTGCTTGCTCAATAAATAATGCAGGCAGCAACTTGAGCATTTCACTGTTTAATTATTGTTTAAATTAATCATAATTAATTAGATTTTATTAATTTGATGGAATAATTAGAAAAGTGTAATCAATAATTAATGCTTTTATATTTGTTTCATAATAGAAACTTTGAAAATTACTGAAGAGGATAGAAAAGAAAATTGGCATTGCTATATTACATAAAGTTTTTTAACATACACATACATTTATTTTTTAAAAAAATTATACTCCTTTTATTTACTAATTTAAAAGCCTACTAACTTCAAGTAGCTTCAACAGGAGCATTGCACCAGGGTTGTAATCTGTTCTCAATCCACAAGAACAGTGTGACCTGAAACAATACCAACATATATAATTTTAGTAAATCGATTGACTGAAAATTCAAAATTTTAACCTCTTATTTGAGAAGGTAGTTATTAAAAAAAAAAAAAAAAAAAATATTTGAGAAGGTAGTTATTAAAAAAAAAAAAGCTCTTAGTTAAACAATTTTAAATATTCTTATTGCACAAAATTGTTCTTAAAATAATTTTATTTTTCATTCAAATATAACATTTTAATTCAAAATACTCACTTCCACATTTGGTTCCAGGAGTGAATGCCAAGCCACACAGGTCTGAAGCACGTAAACAACTTTTTCCATACTGATCATTTTTTTCAGTTCGGTGTGACATTGCGTGTGACATGCTTGCAAATGCAGCCCATGTCTGCATTTTTCAATACATTGCAACACCCTTTAGAAGGAGGGATTTTTGGTCCTGAAATTTTGATATACTTAAAACATTGTGCTCCCACTTCTCTAACTTTGTTTTCGTCACAATTGTCTGAAAAGCCTGAAGCCCCATAATCGCTCAAAATTAGAGCTCCTGCCATTATCAATGTTGCTAAAAGCATGCATTGAGTCTTCATATTTGTCTTCTCTCTTTCAAAACAGTGATGATTTTGATTTTGATTTTTCACACTCTGAATGATGATGATGTTGTTGTAGATATATATATAATATATATATATATAGTAGTTAGAGCAAAGTGAAAAAGTGATGTAAATTCATTAAAATCTAGAATAATAAATGTTGAGAGAGTCGGCATTAATAACTATGGATTGTACTTTAATGAAGGGAAATCGCTATGGATTCTATTTTAATGAAGGGAAATCTTCAGTTGGCTAATAGCAACATTTGTAAACATGTATTTATAGCATTATCCAATAGAGATACTGATTTTTTGCAAGTGTACGAAATCACAACAAGTAATAAAGAATAAGTAGAATGATTTTTGCAAGTATACGAAATTATATTAACATAATATTATTTAAACGGCAATCAAGTGAATTATTTTAAGAAATTAACTTCAACAAATAAAAGAGAATAAAAAGAAATTAAGCAAGGCAATTTTTGATAAAAAGAAATCAAGGATTAAAAGCTACTCGGGATTTTGACTTCACTTAATTCTATCCAATTTATTTTATTAGTTTGATAATCAATTTTAATTGTTTAAGTAGGGAAAACCACCTTAAAATCACTAACAATCTCTCCCGATGTATTGTTAGCTATTTTAACCCAATCTAATTACCTATATTCCAATAGTGGAATCAAACATGAATTAAATCATGAAGTTTTATGGTTTGTTTTGTGAATTCATAACCTAAGGTCATTAACTTATGAAAACCCCCATGAGTCAAACCATAATCCTAAATGTATTATATAAACTATTATGTATGTATTCTATAACTGTAAATTTAATGTAACATAAATTATTCTGTAAATATATTTTACCAATGTACTATATAAATTATTATAAATTTAATGGAACCACGTGTTGTATAAACTGTTGTAAATTAATATAAATTTATAAAATTATTTATGACATAAATTCACCCATTGCAGAAATGAACATTCACGGCATCACGCGAGCCTACAAACCTAGTTTTGACTAAAATAGGAAGTAACGTATTCAATCAAAATAAATATTTACTTTATTTTTTTTAGCCAATAGTATTATAATATAACTAATAAAATTTAAATAATACTTAAAAGCAATTTATATTTTAGCCAATCAAATTGAGAACAAATTTTCAGTATCAAATTTAAACATGTCTTATTTTGGCATCCAATATTCTCCTTCTTAATCCTAATTTTATATATACTAGTTTTCTCAAATTATTCATTGTATGTTATTTGTACTTGTTGATTTTTACCCGTTGCAAATAAATGTAATTTAATTAATACATATCATTTTATTATAAATTATGATATTATGAATAATTTATATTATTAAAAAATCTAAGAGCATTTACAAAATAGAAAATGTAAAATTTTATGAAGTAATAAAATAAAAAAATTCAATAATTAAATTATGAGTTATAAAATTAAAAAATTCAAATAATTTAAATAACTCATAAAAAATGAAGATTCCAAAAATCTAAGAGCATTTACAAAATAGAAAATGTAAAATTTTATGAAGTAATAAAATAAAAAAATTCAATAATTAAATAACTTATTAAAAAATAATTATTATTATAGTTTTATAACCAAATTTTCATGCAAATAAATTAACTTATCAACCAATTTAAATTTTTTAATTGCAATTTAAATTTAATTAACTTAATTTTCTCATATATAATATAACACAAATTAAAGAACTGCCTACACTATTAAAATATAAGAAACAAATATTAGCTATTATAATAATTAATATATTAATCATTATTTAGAACATTATTTATAATTTTGATATTTTTTATTTTTTTGCTAAAATCTATGAATATATAATTAATTTTAATGATTGCCGTTTTTATATGGTTTGCTGATATAACGTATTATCTTATATATATATCTAGCGAGTTTTAGTTTTTATTTTATATTAAACAATAAATCTCATAATATATTTCTTAATAAATAATAATAAATTACATTTACTTTTTTTTAGAATAAGTTATTTTTAGAAAATAATTACAAACAATCAATTTAAAGGTTTATTAAAAATAATAATTAAATATATTCTAACCATATTTAACATGTGCCTTATATAGTATAATATAACCAATGGTTCTGAAAACTGGATCAAACCAGTCAGTTCGACAGTTTAACCAGAAAGCGAATTGGCTAGTTCGACGGTTTAACCGAGAACCGGATAGTGGTGCAGTTCAGGTTATATAGAAAAATAGGGATCATTAAAAATAGGCCTAAACCGGTAAAAATCGGATGAAAACGAGCCAAAATTAGTGAATTGAACCGGTTAATCAGTTTGATTCAAAATCTGATTTTTGTCTCAAATTGTGCTCTTTTTTAAAATTTGGGTTGCTTAAAAATTGGACCCACTGATTTATTACTTTCACCTCTTTATTTTTAAATCCAAAGTCCTATTATATTAATTAAAACAATTAAAATTTTCAACTTTAATGCTAAATAAGCAGAATGACCAGCAAAGAGTCAATTTTTTCTGTTGATATATAAAATATAAGTACACCTAATTTTATATACATAAGTCAGTTTTATTACTTACATCATACGTTTGATAATGTGAGTTCAACCATAATAATAGATGTCTTCAATATATCCAAAGAGTCATTATGAAAAGGCTGTTTATATCCAAAATGGTCAAGTCTTCTTCTCACCTAATACCAATTATAATATAAAAAAAAATGTTAGAATTTAGATATAAAAAATTAAGATTTAAAATGAGTTGTTTCCCATGAAAATGGTTAAGCCAAAATATAAATCAATCCCAATAAATATTTATATCCAAAATGGTTAAGCCAAATTTTTGCCTGTTTAACAATATCAATTAAAAAGTTAAGTTTAAAAATGAATTGTTTTTCATACTTTATTTGTATTGTTGTTTAATATATAACATCCAAAATATATCCCAAAAAGGCTATTTACACCCAAAGTTAAGTTCAACAATAATTTATCTTTTGAAGTTGAGATAAATTATTTTTCATTGATGTAAATATTTATTTACCTGTGTTATTCCAAATTTTGATAGTGTCAAAATAGCAGAATTCCAGAATAGCATACATAAATAAGAATACTGCATAGTATAACGATATTTGTTTGTAAACGAATTTTTCAGCCACTCTATGCATGGAAATATATATAAATAATAAAATATGTATGGTTAATGTGAATAAACCATCATGCTGTAATAGAATATGAACATCATGCTTGCCCTTGTTGCTGCTTAGGATGATAAAACAATCTCTACAAATCCCATTACTATTATATATGTCATGGAGAGATAACAATTGAAGAAATATAGAAAGCAAATGACTACTAAACATAAGTTTCAAATCATGCAACTTCTTTTTCTTTTTCTTTTTTTAAATTTATTGCATTCTCACTCTATATAGTGCAACATAGAGATATGTGGGCCTCAAAAAAGAAATATAGAAGATAAGTAAATGTAAATAGAAAGCAACATTTAACTACTCCCTCTAGCTATATTAATCATCAATAATAGTAGAATTATATATTAATTTGAATTGATTACTGACAAAGCTCATAACATACAAATTTGAATATATAATTACAATTTAATTGAAAATAACAGGTTTGAAAATGACTTCTTCAATATCAAGTAATTGAAAGTTTGGTTCTCTTGATTCTTCTGCAAATACAAAATCGCTTCCCTTGAGTTAAAATGGAAACTGATAGAGTCTAGATATACACTTGATATAAAATGTAATTACAAAATTGTATCTGGGTTGCAAGAGATGATGCTATACACTTGATGAATTTGTATGAAAATCAGTAATTGAAATCTCTAGGCTTGTTTGTATAAAATTTGTATAACCTGTTGCCAAATTACCAATTAGTAGAAATAACAGATATTGAACTGCAAATTACATCCTGAGTAATTTATAGAATTTTTTTCCCACTCTTTGGTCAGTTCTCTTTTAAATTCTTGATTAAAACCCTAGATATGGAGGACAAACAGCAAAAGATCTAATTAACTCCAATAAAAGCTCAAAGAAAACACAAATCGACAAAACAAAACATACACTCACAATTTAAACACATAACAAATAATTTGGATGATATAATCCAAATAGGGTATATATTAAATTTAAATTTTATTACATAAATTAAGAAATTATATGATATACTAAATATGGTATATATTAAATGTGGTAAAAATATAATATTTTTTAAGCATTTTAATTTTATTGGTTGAAAAAATAAATATAATTTAATTTTGATTGGTTATATTAATGTTTTGAGAACCGGATCGGTCAATAAGAATTAACTGATTACTAAAATTCAGGTCTAAGCTATGTTATTGTGAGTTCAAGATCAGAATTCTCCCATTTCTCTCTCCATGAACTAAAACTTGTTGGGATTATAACTGATCCCGAGTGGGGCCCACGGAAAATACTGGTGGTAAAAGTAAAATAAAATTACTATTACCACATATACCTCCAATAATTAAAATTAAAATTACTACTTACCACATATACCTCCAATATTAAATATTAATTGAATATTGACGAATCGAATTTCCACCAGAAATAATAATCACGATAAAAATTAAATAATTATCGTAAATGCCAGATGAAAAAAATAGTTTAGTTTACGTGGCTTCACCCTTCAACTGTTCCATGGGCTACGTCCACGGGACAAAAACTTCCAAATAATTCTGTCTTATAGAATAGTTAGGTAAAAAGAGATTACAAAAATAGCTGGCACACAAAGTGTTTCCAAAAACACCTCCAAAATTACAATCCTTCCACTATTTTCTCTCCTGCCTTAGGAAACTCTTTTCCTAAAATTTTTCTACACCTAAATAGTGTATATTGCTTCTATGTTTGTTGTACGCCTTAAGTTGAAGTGAGAATAAATCCGTATTTATAGATAAGTGGCATGCCTTAATGGAATCTGTTGCGCATTAAACGGCAGTCCATTTTCATTTTTAGGTAAACAACTGCCTGAATTTTTTTCTTCTTTTAAACAACACGTGTTTTCTCCTTTTATTTTTTCCT